TTCCGATCCCATGTCGGTTTTTCCCACCAGAATCGATTTCCTGTAAGTGAAACCAGGACACTTCCTCGGCTCCACCTCGAAGATTCCTGTTGTCGAGTGCTCATGTGCCCCGAAAGCATACTCGGTTCCATGAACTACAACCAAACATTAACCAGATCCATGAATGCAATCTTACAGATGAGTAGAATCGTAGGTAAGAAACATTCTTGAAAGCAAACAACTTGCAGATGAACAGACAAAGCTTCTCAAAATCTCATTACAACAACTGGGCGTCTGAAAATTTTACCAGAATCTCAAATTTTGGTGTCCTAATACTAAAGGAGCATTCATATACTTCTCTCTGAGACAACAATCTCAAAGCACCAGACATTTGGAATTAGCTTGTGTCCAAGTCATATTTTAACCATTTGGTCTCATCTTGTCAATATGAAGGAGGACCAAAGTCAAACTTAATCAAATTCTTTTTCAACAAAACCTATTAGTCTTAACTTAACCATATACTTCTCATTCACAACAGAAACACCCAAGCCATTTTCTCAGTAAAAAAATCGTTTTCTAAGCAAGAATTCTTTCATCACTTTCCCACCAACCAAACAGCAGAGACTAGAAGAAAGTTCCTGATTTCCTGTAGAGAGGGAGAGAGCAAGACCAATTTTCACAACTGTTTTCTCTTCAACCAACAGATGTTGCAGCAATCTAACCTAAACAACAAAGACGAACAAGATCCCCCCCCCCCCCGGCCCCCAAAGTTTCTCTCGTCTTTCTCGGCAACCAAACAAAGGATAACCCAGAACACAAAAAGCTCATACCCAACAAAAAAAGAGGAAAACCCAGCAAAAAAAACTTCACCTTCAACACCGGAATGATAGATCCCGAGGCCAAACCAGTAAATGTAGACATTCACTGGGGTAAGATCGTAGACATTGAGGTAAACCGGAACTGAACCGGGTTTCTTCTTCTGGTTCACAGACACACTCCTGCCCGACATCTTTCCGATTTCAATGCATCACAACAAGAGAAGCGATCGAATCTTTCTGGGTTCTTCTTCGTCCTTTATGTGTTCTGGTAAATAAGGCGAATGTGTCCTTTCCTTTCTCGATCGATGCTTTTCACTTTCTTTTCCGATTTAATTCACTGCATCTGATTTTTAATAAAATACTTTTGAGATTTTTTTTTTTTTGGAAAGGATATTATATGGTACCACTCGTGCGTTTGTTTTTATTTTATCTTCACTCGTGCCAAAAGTTTTTTTTTTTTATTATCTAGATTTGACTGGTAATTTATATAAAAGATCTGCAATTTATTTCTGAAATAATCTTTTGGATGGGGGAATGATAGTTACTATATTTTAATTGTTGTAAAAATAATATGAGATGGTAAAAAATCCACAAGAATAAAATGTATTTTCAAGGGGGTGAAGAAAAAGAATCTGAGAATCCTAAAACAAAGATTTTTTTCCAACTCCCGATGAATTCAAAATTCAAATTAAGCATATAATCCAAGTAAAAAGGTAAGACTTGTGAATTTTTTTTTAAAAAAAGTCAAAGTTTAGATTGTAAGAATATTTAAAATGGATTGCAGAAAGTCTCGTAGCAAAAAAAAACCCATGTTTTGTTATTATGCCTAATAAAGTTTAAAAAAAATTGAGGAGAAAATACAGGGAAATTGTTCTTATAAAAATTCATTGAATTAAAACGATTAAACAAAAAAAAATCACATGAATCAATAATATAAAATTATATGGACTGAACCAAACAATAAAAACATCCAAATGATTATTATAGATTACAACACTTATTTCTTCCTATTTGATAGAGGGTTCTATGATCAGAAGACAAATATCTACTAGTAGAGGATTAAAAAAAAGAGATAAATTTAATTTTCTTATAAGGTAAACTTAATTTTATATTGAAGTATTTAATAATTGTATTTAAAGAAACTATAATTTTTTAATTAATAAATGGGGGCGCGTGAGTGACCCCATTCAATTATTATATGTGTGTCCGCCGAGTACAACGCTCTTAACAAAATTTTATTGGATAATTTTTTTTGTCACTGAAATTTTCGTATAACATAGAATAAATAAATAAATATATATATATATATATTAGAAAGATTTGTAAAAATTAGTTTTGGAAGATATGAAATTAGACACATTAGAAAGATTGTAACTGTTGTCTAGATATTTTATTTAATTTATTAGAGTTATATAAATAAATACAGCAACAGCGTTGAAATAAAGTGACTTATCATACATGGAACTCTGATAAATAAAATGTCTAGAACATTATAATTGGATTCCAGAGCATAAGAAATTGTAGCGTATCAATTTCTAATTTTCTTACAATATTCTTATATCCTTAATTATATTCGGAGGCTAAAAAGGAAATGCTTGTGTATCTGAACCGGATACTATACCGAATCATCCCTGAATGATGGCAAACAGAAGGGTCAAATTCAAATAAATTTTTTTTTTAAAAAAAAGCATTACGCACTTGTTTTTGACATTTGATTTGGTCGTCGCTGATTTAATGGTGGATTATAAAATAATATTCCTGTTTTGGGCTTTTTATTTAGTTGGTTGGGTTTGAATGTTTTTTTTAATTAGTTGTTTAGGTTTCAGATTTTGGGGGAATAAATAAGCTTAGACCCCTAATGTTTTTTTTAATCCTAGGCCCGGCCCGCGTACTTATGTATTTGATTGTCATTATTGTATTTTTCATATGAAAATGGAGTTTTGGTTCAATAAAAGCATATAATAACGTATCAGTTTTGAGACCCATGATCGAGTTTTGGAAAGGGATATTCATTTGAATTTTTCCGTTGCTTTTATGAGATGTAATTGGATCGAACCCGAGGTGAATTTCCGAATTATAAAAAAAAATTGATATCAGTAAACTTCATTTAGCATCTTCGGATTCAATCGAAATTGCCTCATTCACTATTATTGGAGTCTCAAACGAATTGTGAATGGGGGTGATATGAGATAGCAAACTATAATAGAGTGGTCACCAGCTGGTCAATGACAGAATAAGACAGATAATTAAAGGCTTAACAGATACATACACCAATATA